CCCTTATTCTCTCTCTAAAAATCAATCAAACAAAATTTAAAAAGAAAAGAAAATGCTAATTAAAATGAGTTTTTAAAAAATGGTAAATGCCAGACCCTAATTTCTTTTAAGAGAAATATTACTACATATTATACTTTTAAAACATATCACTATGTACTATATTACATTTAAAAGTAAACAACCTGAAAAGAGGGTTTTGTTGTTTGTTTCTGGGTTTTTTATTGTTGTTGTTTGTATCTTCTTAACATACAAGCTGAGGACACTGGAAAGTTGAATCTAACACACTACTGTCAGAATAGTTCAAAAGTTTTTAAGATAATCCCATTACGTTTAGAGCTTATTTTTTTAAAATAGCTTCGAGAATGCATTGGGCCTAAATTTGGGGGGGGGGGGCGGGAATTAAGTACATAACTTAAATGATCATACCTAAAGGTTCATGAAAAAGATTTTAAAATTACGTTTCTGAGAATCAGCTTTTTAATGTCTGTGATTCATTTTCTGCTCTAAAAACTTCAATGCCCAATGTTTGGGTTTTAAAGGCAATGGATTTGGCTACAGAAAAGAGTGGACTCTTTCTCCATTTGGTTTTGGTTTGCCTTTTGGTTATTTTTGTTTGTGTTTTCGAGTTGGTTTTATTACAATGCCTTGGCCAGGCCGTTCTCTCTCTTTTTGTCCAACTGTTTGGAGAGGCCAGAGTTATGAAGGGCTTTATTTTCGGTCTCCTCCACAGAGCTTTTCAAAGAAGGAAAAGAATCGGAGGGAGAAAGAAAAAGAATGGAAAACAGTACCAAGCCAGTGAACTCGCAACCAGAGAGAAACATTACGGACAAGCTGGGCTCCCAGATGAATCGTTTCACCCAGGCAGTTTTGCTCACTTCCTTCATCCTACACTGAATACTTCCTGGGCACTGGTCCTGAAGATGCCACAGTGGGACACAGGCCACAAACAAATAATCAGACAATAGCAGTGCACTGGGCAAGTGGCATGGCCGAGTCACCGCACGGCTTTAGTAGAGCTCAGAGGAAACCGATCGAACCTGGATGGGGACTAACAGACCACGGGACAATTCAGAGCAGGGCTCTGGGGTGTGAGAATGAGGAGGGCCCCCGAGGGGAGAAGAGGCATTTCAGACAGGAAAAACAGCCAGTGAAAATGCACAGCGTGTATTCAGAGACTTGAGAGAACTTCCCGTTAACGGTTAGGGAAGGTGGGGTCAGTCCCCAGAGATGATCCTGTAAAGTCTGTTAGCGCCCGAGTAGGAAGAGATTGGTACGTCAGGCTCAGGAGTTGGGTCCTGCTCCCTCAGCCCGAGGGGAGCTGGTAGCGGGGAGGTGAGCAGAAAGGAGCTTGGTGATTGGTGCGCCAAGTGGATTGGATCTAGCAGGGAAATTCCAGTGGGACTATTGGGGCGGTGAACAAGGAGAGGCAACAGTTTGGAGGTTACAGCAATAATTAAAAGCTACACATAAGGAGTGTCTGAAACAAGGCAGCCCAACTTGCAGTAGGAAAGAGAAAGAGAAAGAGAGAGAGAGAGAGAGACAGACAGACAGACAGACAGACAGACTTAGAAATGGAAACTGTTGAACTTCCTGGACGCCTGGTGCCCAGTTCAAAGAAAGTGAGGGAGGAATCAATGAAATCTGGGTTTCTAGCTTGGGAAGCTGAGGAAGAATGAGGAAATAACCTGGGGAAAACTATGAGAAGAGTCTGGGTGACAGGAGGTTCCTGACAAGAAATGGGGATTGCCCTGACCGGTTTTGGCTCAGTGGATAGAGCGTCGGCCTGCGGACTGAAGGGTCCCAGGTTCGATTCCAGTCAAGGGCATGTACCTTGGTTGCGGGCAACATCCCCAGTGGGGGGTGTGCAGGAGGCAGCTGATTGATGTTTCTCTCTCTCTCATCAATGTTTCTAATTCTCTATCCCTCTCCCTTTCTCTCTGTAAAAAAAAATCAATAAAATATATTAAAAAAAGAAAAAAAGAATGGGGATTGATGAGAACTGAAAGGAAAGACAGGCTTCCTGCTGACGGACTGTTCAAAAAGGACAAGCACATGCTTCATTCATTCAACAAACACAGAGCATGACCCTGTGCTGGGCAGGCTCTGGACTGGGACCTGGGGATACAGTAGTGGAGAAAATAGCACCTGTCCTCATGAAGCTTACGGTCCCCCGGAGACCACATGCTGAGGGTCAGGTCCTGTGCTCCATACTTGACTTGGAAGATCCCACCTACCCTCCTCATCACTTTAAGACGCAGGTACTATTAACACCCCCATTTCATGGAAGGACAGACAGGCAGGGCGAGGTTAAGCAACGTGCCCAGCTAGAAAGCAGCCGAGCCAGGGCACAAACCCAGGACATCTAGTGCTGCCTTAACCTCCACACAAGACTGGGGTTTAAGGAGCTGGAGTTTACAAGGGGATGCAAGTGGAGGCTGAGGGAAGCCCCTCTAACAGTTATTCATCAGGAGGTATTTCATTTCAAACACAATTAGGATAGTTAAAATTATCTCTTGTTTTCTCCTCATTAAAAGCATCTCTTTGCCCCCTCCCCAGCCCCAAAATAAAATAAAATAAAAGCAGTTCTTCCTAAATCCTGTGTAGCCAGGTGCCCAGATCCAGCGCCCAGTTCTGGTGCAACCCTCACTGAGATCTTTATCACACCCCTGCATGGCTCCGTATTAATCCCCCAGCACTAAGGGTTTCCATCACACCTTCTGCCTACTAATGCAGTTTATACTGAAAAAAAAATCTATAATTCCAAGGACGTTAATAATTAACTTCCATACCACAAAACTTGTAATATCGGTTTGCTGAAATAAAGTCACCAGTAAGTATTTAATTCTTCTTTACAGGGTGTCTTCTATTATTATTATTTTAGAGTACAATTTAGTCATCAAAGGTTTACTCATCCTCATGTTTATAAATTATATAGGGCAGGAACTTAACTCTTCTGGACCTACCTGTTCTGGAGAGAGGGAGGGTCATAACCCTGCTGTCACACCAGGCACTTGCCTTGAAAGGCGATGATTTGTGAACTCGAAGTTCCTTACCTCTTTTAGAAATCCGAGGTGAATCTAGAGATTTCCCTTTATGATGCAATCAGAGGACTCACCAGATAGTTGCCTGCCACAAAGGAGGACTGGCTTTCTTCCTCCAAAAGACCTATTGGGAAATTCAAGTTTGTCTTTTTAAATTGAGTTACAGAATCTTGTCTTGATTATATGACATAATAATAGTGGCTCTCCAATTCATCTGTGTAATATTGTTTTTTTCATTGTGGTGGTTACTTTTGTTAAAGGGCAAGGGCTACTGCCTTACTTAGAAAAATTAAAACAAAGCAGAGAAAAACCATAGGAACTGGCCACCTAAGTTGGAAACCCCAAGTCCTGACTTACACTTTACCTCCTGAGGGTGATGGCTGCCAATCAAGGGCTCATCCAAGTTCACTGGGGTTTAGGAACCTTGGCCTTCATGGAAAAGGAGATAACTTTTCCAGGCTACCCTGAAGTCCTAGCATCCCCAGAAATGTTTTGTCATCACAAAGAGGGGGGAGGGGGTCACAGGTGTGTTTCCTTTCTTGAGTCCTCCTTTTGAAGGGGCAGTATCTTCAGAGTTAAAGTAACTGGCCTGCTCCTATGGGGTGGGGTTGAACCCCTCTAAGGCCATGGGAGGGAGGGGCAGGATTTTCCTGTCAAAGCCAGGCCCGCCCGCCCCTCTCGCCACCTTCAGGCCTTCACAGCCCTTAGCCAGAGCCCAGTTAGGAGATGGAAGTCATCTTCCAGGGAGTCCGATTCTCCGGACCTAGGACCTAGGACCTAGCCTTGGCGGAAAGGGCCCGGTGAATTCGGGGAGAGACGCATTCCAAGAATGCTTCTGAGGTCGGTAAGGAGTGGGAACACCAGGGATCACACCTACCCTGAGGAGACCTAATAGGGAGCATAGTCTCAGGACTCAAACAGGTGACAAGGACTTACAGTAGTCGGCAGCTAGAGCTCAATGGAGGTGGGTGCACACTCTGCCCAGGGATGGGGCTTCCACGCGTTTCCAAGGCCCCCTCCTCCCTTTTGTTTGCTGGGCCTACACCAGGCGGCCTGAGCGGCAGCGTTCCCAGTGGGGGCTGTCGGTGGAAAGGGCGGGCGGAGCCCTCGGCGCGCCTGAATCCAAGCTAAACACCTCGCAGGCGGACGTTCAGCAAGCGATACCGAACACCACACTCACGTTTAAAAAAAAAAAAAAAAAAAGGCACTCTTTGCCGAGAAGATGAGGGCGAAAACATTTCCCGGCTGGAAAACTACTGATCACAAACTAAGGGGGGACTCGGGGTGGGAAGGCAGAGTTGTAAGCCCGAAATAACGATCGCCGTTTCCTCTTCTCTTCCCGGCGGACGGAGGCGGCAGCCGCCAGGCTCCG